CTCTTCCCCATCTGGTACCGCTGCCACCGCCCCAGGCACCTGTCGGGCATCGTGAGCGGGACACTCTGGGCCCTCGCCGGGGTTTTTGTCTCCTTGCTCTATGTCACCTACACTGTCAGTGAACACTCTGGGGAAGTGCTTCCAGGTGTAGTCCTGGCATTTTCCGTGATTTTGTCAGTCTTGATGTTGGTTTCCAACCTGTTCCTGATCACCAAGCTCCTCTGTGGCTCCCAGAGACAACACCCAGGGAGGCTCTATGTTGTCATCCTGCTCAACATCATTGTCTTCTTCGCTCTCGGCATTCCTTTCTGCATGGATGTTTTCCTCAATCTTCCCAGTTCAGGGGATTTATTCCCTGAAGATGACATCCCTCTGCTCCTGGCATTGCTGGACTGCTGCCTGAACCCTGTGATTTACGTCCTGGTGGGGAGCTGCCGGCGGCGCCGCTTCCATCGCTCCGTCAAAGTTGCGCTCCGACGTGCCTTTGAAGAGAAAGCAGGGAATGAGGAGAGGAGCCACGTGTGTTGGGACACTGTAGTGGAGGTGACCTCTCTGTAAGGCACTGCTGGTGAGGTGACCTGGAGATGTGGCACCTCACAGACAGCCAGAAGTGTGGGGGCTTGAGGGCACGTGGCTCAGAGCCAGGGTATCTGGGCTCGGTCCCGTTCCCTGGCTGTATTCCCCTGGAATGACCCTTACTGCCCCATTCCCAGGGAATAAACTCTGTCTCCTTGGGCTCAGCAGATGAGTTTCATGGTGTTTTGCGGATCTCTTGGCTGGAGAGGGTGTGACATAGTAAGCCCTGGGGATATATCCATCGCGGGACAGCGGTGATTTCACAGGTCTCTTTGGGGCTGACACCTCTAGATGGCAGGAGAGGGATTGGGATCGCACGGAACACCCTTCCCTTTCTGGCCCAAGAGCAGATCGGCAGAGCTGGCTCTGCATTCCCGACTTTTGGGAAAGGAAACAACCCTATGCCAGGCAGGGCTGCAGATCTGGGGAAGGAACTACAACGTTCCCTTGCACTTTAAGTGGAAATTTGTCAGATTCTTTAATTCTAGAACTAAATCATTCTGAGTAAAGTGTAGATTCACTAGTGCTGGGAAATTACAAGAGGTATGTTCCTGGTACTCATGTTCACATCAGTAAGTTGTTGCCCATGGGAATCTGTGGATGATCCATCCCTGGAAGTGTTCCAGGCCAGGTGGGGCAGGGCTTGGAGCAACATGGTCAAGTGGAAGATGTCCCTGCCCATGGCAGGAGGTTGGAACTGGATGAGTTTTAAGGTCCCTTTCAACCCAAACCACTCTGTCATTCTGTGAGATAACACAGAGCAGCTGAGGATGTCTGATGCCAAATATCACCTCTCTGATGCCAGAGAGCGGCACAGCTGGCAAATATCAGCTCTGGCACAGATCACAAAGCCCTCTCCAGACTCAGCTCCCAACCATGCCGCGAAGCAAGGCAGGGGATCACTGGATCAGATGGGCTTGGCAAGCTACACACACTAATTCCTGTGCTCTCTCTGCACATACCAATTCCACTGAGCACACCTTTGCACCCATGACCAAAAAGAGCTTGAAATATGGAAATTCACAGAAGCAGATGGTTGGACCACTTAAATTTTTAGAAATTAGGGGAGTTACACTGCTATTCTGCAGAATGGGGTCATCCTTTAATTCCCCGGCATCAATATGAAGAGGAAGCCATTCCCCACTTCCATCCTGAACCTGGCCACCCTCAGGAGGACCTGAACAGCAACTCTGCACAGTGGCTTTAATGAGTAATCAAAATCCTGGTTGTACCAATCTTTCTCACTTTGCTACTACTGCTGAATAAAATTTGTATTTCTTTCTTGTTTGTTTCCAACATGGTAACTCTGACCCTGAAATTTGTTAAATAAACAGCGTCTGGGCTTTGCTGCAGAGCTTGTCACTGGTGAACAGAGCAAGGCTGACTCAGCATCAGAAAATGGCTCATTTCCTCTATTTCTTCTCATTCTAAAGCCTCTAAAGCCTATCTTTCAGATACTTTATTTCAGAAAGGGCTGACAAACATGGAGGGAAGAGAGAAGCAGGGAAAGCACTGCCACTGCCCCTCTACCCAGAGAATTCCTGAGCCAGGCTACAGGGATTGAGTCCTCATGGCCTCAACAGGCTCTTTTCCATGAAAGGTCCAGTTTTCCTTTTCCTTCCCTCTCCCTGTATCCTCTTTCACATAGAAAATCTCACCTTTGCTGAGTCTTCAGGCAGAGCTCATTTAATTTTAACCCTCCTCCTTTTTTTTTTTTCCCAGATGAGGAACAGAGTCTCCAGAAGTGGAGCCAGCCCTCAGGTCATGGTTGTGACACTCTGCTCAAACTAAAACCATCCAGACAGCCAGAGAAAAGTGGGAGGATCTGCAGGAGGCAGTTCCAGCCCCAAATCCTTGTGTACGGACAGGCCACATGATGTGCAGACCAAACTCAGTGTGCAGCAGGAGCAATGCACTTTTGGGGAGAACCTTCCAGAGGGGATCCCAAACACACATTCCTACTGTCCCTGATAACAAAGCTGAATGTGAAGTCTCCACATAGTATCCCCATGTGTCAGGACCTACTGGTCAGGAATTGTCCAGGAATTGTTCTGCACTGCTGTGCCAAGATATTCACCCGCACTCTGTTTTTAAGCACACACCAAAAAAAACCCACTGGCAGGAACTCTGAGCCTTGGTGACTTGGTTTTAATAGTCCACAGGGTAGAGAAGCTCAGTTTTGAGACAGGGAAAGCTCAGACCTGTTGAATAGGAAAGATTCAAAGCAGATTTCAAAGCAACAAGTTTCATGAGTGTCCCTGCCTATGGTGGGGGGTTTGGAACTCAATGATCTGTAAAATTCCTCCCAGTCCGAACCACTCTGTGATGATTCTATGATTATTCATCACATCATCCAGCATCCACTCCAGGCAGGAGTTCCCCTGCCACCCACTACATTTCCTTGTGCTGCAGTTAATTCCACTCAGCTACATCTAGACCCACATCAGTATTGCCCCAGGGCACCTCCATCCCCAGAGCATCTCAGAATCATAGAATTGGGGTGGCAGGGGGTTAAACAGCTGGTTTAGGGTGGATATTAGGAAAAGTTTCTTTACCAGAAGGTGATCAGGCACTGGAACAGGGTCCCCAGGGAGCCTGATGGAGCTCAAGGAGCATTGGGACACACTCTCAGGCACATGGTGGGATTGTTGGGGTTGTCCTGTACAGGGCCAGGAGTTGGACTCAATGATCCTCATGGGTCCTTTCCAACTCAGGATATTTTATTATTCTATTTTATGATGATTTCATTTTATGATGATTCCATTTTATGATGATTCCACTGTGTTGTCTCTATTTTGAGGCTCTGACACATCTTCAAAAGTCCTCTGGAAGGCAGCACTAACAGAGAGTGTGAACTTCTTTGCACAGCTCCCAGCCAAGAAGTAAATAAGAGGGTGGACGCTGCTGTTGGCACAGGCGAGCGGGAGGGAGGCGCTGAGGACAAAGACAGAAAAATCAAACACCCTGAGCAAGAGCCAGTACCCAAAATCAGCAGTGGAGAAGGGGAAGAAGATGACAGCCAGAAGGACCACAGCACAGAGCTTCCTTGGAGAATGTTTCCATGAGCAGCATAGGAAAACAAGCAGGGCTAGACCAGAGCAGATCAGGGTGAGCACCGATAAGAGGTAGCTCAGGACAAAGGCAATGAGTGCTGAAGGGTGGGAGTAGAGGGTCATGGTGAGCAGGAAGGAGAGGACCCAGAGCAGGGCACACAGGAGCACTGGGAAGCGCTGAGAGTGGTGGCAGGGACAGTGGGACATGGGGAGTACAGACAGAGCTGTCACAGCACTGAAGGCTGTCAGCAGGTAGACACTGGCAGTGAAGGCAAACAAGATGATGATGTTCAGCACAGTTGTCACTCCCTGTGAGCCCAGCTCATGACAGAGGCTCTCTGGGACATAATATATCCCCAGAGTGATGGTGATGGAGAGGAGGAAGGTGAAGTCAGCGATGGCCAGGTTGAGGATGAAGATGGTGACGGGGTTCCTGTGGATGTGGAAGCCAAGGAGCCAGAGAACAGCCCCATTCCCAACCATCCCACAGAGGCAGATGAGGAGTGTGACAGGGACTTGGCTCAAGTGGCTGCTTTCACAGTCGGTCCAGTTGTAGGGGTTGTCCTCACTCCAGTTCCTGTTAGATGCCATCCCACTGGATTGGCTCCAGCAATCGGGGCTGGCTCTTTCCGTGGCAGAGGATGTATCCATTGTGACACCTCTGCTGCTTCTCCTTCCCCTCACACAGCTGGAGGGGTGAGAAACAGAGACACATTAGCAACACTCTGTCCACCACATGTGGCTTTTCCCATCTTGTCCCATGCCCCAACTTCCACATGGGGGAGTACAGAGTGAAGTGAGGGACAGGACAAATGGAAAATATGATGTAGGATGTGGATATGAACATGCCTGGCACAAAAGCCAGGGATATGCCTCCTTCCTGGATTTGGACAGGACAGATCTGGAGGAGGAAAATAATTGAAGAAGGACATCTTTGGAGATATCAAAGAATGAGAGGCTTTGGGGTGTGTCTGATCTGGATTCTTAGGTGTCTAATATTGTAGTTGATATCACTGACCTGCTGGGTTCCTTCAGCAGGACACCCATTTCAGTATCCCCCCTCCCCCCCACCTTTTTCCATAATATTTATAGGTCTTAATACCCTACAGACTGCTATTCCCTGATCAGATTTGGTGAAAATTGATGACCAGGTTCCACACCAGTGGGGGGACGACACTGATTAAGCTGAAAAAACCCACCCAGAAGAGTCTGACCTTCTTTCCTCTCGCAGCCTGAAGAATTCCACTGGAGCAGACGCGCTGCGGTCTCACATCATCTCACACTCGCCAGTTGCTGTCCCTGGAATGGGATCTCCAGGAGTTTTGCTGGAATGATCACTTGGAAAATGGGAGCGAAGCCTTCCTGGTGAGCCTGAGCAGTGTCTGGCATGGGGTCTGTCCCTGGTCCTTTCACATCCCCCTTTTCTCAGTGTTGACTCATGTTCTCGAGGGCTCTTGCAAAGGGGGAACTATTCCCCTGCCTGTGACGGTAGCAGGGTTCTGGTTCTAATCTACTCTTGGCTTTGTACAGGAAATGACTAACAAAAGAGAGCCTCAGAAAAGAGACCTATGGGAAAAGAATTTGTCTCCGTCTCAGGTTCCTCTTTCCTTTTAAAGCAACCCCAATCTCAAAATATGATCTTCGAACTGGCTGAATTTTTCTCCTCCCATTCCAGGGGTGGATCTTTAGGACCCCGCACTACAAACTTGCTGGGAAACTTCGATTTCTGCTTCAAATCTGATTTTGCCACTTGTACACCACAAACTCAGTGATACTTGACCTGTGCCACACAGTTTCCAAGAGGATTCTACTTTGTGTGTCAAGGAGCTCGTGGAATAATAAAATCTGGGCATGAGATGCAGCATGGGCAAATGGCAGAGGGATGATTCAGGATTTCAGGAATAGAAGAAGGGCTGAATCAATGCTGCTTGCCTGGCTTTAGCCATTGGGAAGTTACAGGGCTCATCTAAGTTGTCTTCCGCACTCTCTTTGGAGTCATTCAGCACTCAAAATTAATTCCATGGAATTTCTAGAAAGCTGGAGTGAGGTGAGATGATTCCCACCCAGACTCACATGCATCTGGGAGCAGAGATATTCCTGCTGAGAACTGGCATGTGTGAGGACCCAAGGACCAGAACTGCCTCCTCGCTTCCTTGCTGATGCTGTGTTTGTGTCCAAAACTGTGGAATCCAAATCTCACATCCTCTCACCAAGCTGACCCTTTACAGTGCAAACGGGTCATGATCCAGTATCTAAAGGGCCTCCAAGAGACAAGGACATGGAGTGACAGGACAAGGGGCAATGGCCTTACACTGACAGAGAGGGGGTTTAGATTGGATATTGGGAAAAAATTATTCCCTGTGAGACTGGCACTGAAACAGGTTGCCCAGAGAAGCTGTGGCTTCCCCATCAAGTCCTGTGCTTGATTAAAGAACAGAATTCCCCAGGATCTCTCATCTTCTGCTTCCCTGAGCAACGTCCTGAGCATGTTCTCTAGAAATCTGGATTTCCCACGTGATATTTACAAACATCAGTTGTTTGTTTATGTGAAGGTCAGGTTTGTATATGTACAAAGGAAATCACGATGTGCAAATATTATGGCTCTGGTAGCAGCATGAGGAAGCTGATATCTCATCTGGCAGGAAGAGCTCAGCCTCCTAGAGGATTCCTCCTGTACTTCTCAGCCTGTATTTCTGCCTCTTCTGGGTCTTGCAGTTTGTTCCATGGGTTTCTCCACCCCCAGTACAGAATTTCTCTTTCCCACAGCTGTCAGACCCTCTTTGCCAGTCTGTCTGACCCCAGAGTGCTGGTCACCACAGCACTTTCCTCTTTTCCCATCCCTTCCTGCCTCTCCAGTCAAACCCCCTCGGAGGTTTAAGATTGGTCCCTTGGAGGATGAAGATTTGGCTGCTGGATGATGGTGCCAGCAGCACTTGGATTTTCTCTCCATCCCTGTGGCACAGGAGAACACTGAGCCAGAGGGAGCTGAAAACATAATTTCTGTCCCTCACCATCATCTCCTCTGGTCTGGGGGCTTTTGAGGATCAAGGTAGTGAGAACAGGAGCACAGATGAGACAGGACTTTCTGGGCCACATCATTTCAGTGTGATGAACTAATTGGCAGCATGAGGAGACTGTCACAACTGTGACTTTAGAAATAAGCACAGGCAGCTCATGAGCCAGAAAGGGAAGGAACTGCAGTCCCCAGTAAATTACATGAAAAAAAATTTATTATAATAATTTAAATATGAGGTGGGAACCAGCCCTGCTCCCGGAAATCTCAAGTACGCCCTTGTCCTGGGGATGCACAACTAATCCAGACAGGCAAAGACTCTGCTCCCACTGTGCAGAGGTAGGGCTGCCTCTCTTCTAGTGCCATTTGGTACCCACAGGGATTTAGGCAGCAGTTCCCACCACAGGGGTCTCACCCACCTCTTGGGAATCAGCCCTGTCTTCAAAGACCCTCTGTAGAGCCACTTTGACAGATCCCCTGAGCCTGGGCTTCCCATAGCTCCCAACCAGGACATAAATAATGGGGTTGATGCCGCTGTTGACAGAGGCGAGCAACAGGCAGATCTCAAAGACAAGGTTAATGTAGACAAAGAAGTTGAGGAAGATCTGGATGCTGAGTGGGACACCAAAAAGGAGGAAGGAGAACACAGTGAGGAAGATGGCAGCATAGAGCCTCAGTGAGTGGTGCTGCCAAGAGCTCCGCCTGAGCTTGATGAAGACGATCACGTTGGAAACAACCATAAGAGGAGTCAAAACGCAGAAACTGAGGAAGCACAAGGTTCCCAGAACCACCCAGCAGTGCTCGGAGTGCCCCAGGTCACACACGAAGTACACTAGCCCAGCCAGTACGCAGGCAAGCGCCCACAGCAGGCTGCACACCACGGGGGACAGGAGCCTCGGGCGGTGGCACCGGCACCAGAAGGGCCAGAGGACGCCCACGCACCTCTCCACACTGATGGCCGTGAGCAGGTACAGGCTGGTGCTGTACGTGAGCAGGACCATGGAGTGGAACAGCGGCAGCGCCCACGGCACCTCCGCGCGGGAGCGGCTGAGCATGGGCATGTGGTACATGAGGAGGAAGGCCGAGGTGCAGAGCAGGAAGCAGGTGTCAGCCAGGGCCAGGTTCAGCAGGTAGGCACTGAAGGGGTTCCTGCGGACACGGAAGCCCAGGAGCCAGAGGATGGCCCCGTTGCCCAGCAGCCCGCACAGGCAGGTGAGCAGGGTGAGGCCGCCCGTGAGCAGCTCCGGGATGTGCTCCACAAAGCACCCAGTGCCATTGTGTCCATCCCCATAGTCCAGGCTCTCTGTGGGAGTTGGGAACACTGAAAGCCAGTCGTGGGTCATGTGGTTGGGGTGCCGGTCCATCTTCCTTGTCCTCGCCTGGGGACCCGCAAGAGATGAAGGCAAAATTAGGGACTTTAGGGTGTCCAGTACCTGCACTTTGGTAATTCAGTGTTCCCCATCCTCCAAGGGCTTCAACATCTGCAACTCAGAGAACATCAACACTGGGAAGAGGGGAGAAGGGAAGGGAAGCAAGAGAAATAGGGACTGGAGGGAAAATTCTGGGCCCAGGGTGGCAGGAAATAGACAGGGAAGGTTTGGGAAGGGAAGGTTTGGGAAGGTTTGGGAAGGTTTGGGAAGGTTTGGGAAGGGAAGGG